TATAATTTCAATGGATTATGATACAATTATGTTCCCTGACTAAAGGTACTGAGATGTAGCCTTCAGGGTACCACCCCAGTGACAAGAGGGGCACTGCCAGTGACAGTTTCAGACCTTTATTTCTGAAAGTGTACAGAGCCCAAGTGAAAGGAGCTGTAAACACAGGTTGGAATACAGGTCAGTTGTCAGAGATCAAATCATTAAAGTCTAAAAATCTGCTTCTACTGAAAGAGATGTAAGATTTATGTCAACCAGCTGTGTTGCTGTCAGCTCTTGAAAGAGAGAAAGAGCGAGTGAGAGACCTCAGGGCCATCCTCACTCACTTCATAATATCTTACACAGGTACTCATTCCTCCCAGCAGCTCCTTCAAACCTTCCAGCTCTATTCCTGATGGGTTACTGTACAGCACCTCCATCACTCTAATGTGACAACATCTGATTTAGCTCATCAGTTCGCTGACTGACTGATAAAGTAATTATTGGGTGCTACAAGTACCTGAATGACTTAATGACAGAACAGAATGGCTCAAACACAGAACAGCTCTGAGAACATTCCTTCAGGGTCAAATCTGAGGCTGCAGGGAAAGACAAGACGGCCTGCAGAGGCTTCAGCAAACATGCTTGGTAACGAATGATGGACAGTCATAATGAGAGAAAGACTGATACAGTAAGCCTGGCTGGTTTTGTGCTTGTGGCTGGGTTGAGTCAGAGAGGGATGCATTACCCATGACATAAGAATGTCAAGACAAGTGCAGGAGTTGAAGGAGTTTATTTAGCCGAGCGTCTGTCTGCACCCCACGTGTGCGCGGAGACCACTGTAAATGCTGCGGCCCAGGAGACCCCCACTCACCTGCTTCTGTTTCTCAGGGCTATCAGCACTTCAATATGCATCACATCACTGGAGTCAACCTATAGGGGAGAGCGGGGCACAGCCTAACGTAGGGTAAAATGTAACGTAGATATTTTATGCAGTTAAACACGTGCTTTTGGTCAACCTCTTGTATTGCTATAAAAACATTGTCTTAGATTTTGACAGCAATTTTGACACATATTTGTTATGATTCTGCTGCATTTTGTACTGTAAAAGTAATCTTTTTCAAGTGTTTTTCGATTACTGAGTTGTGCATATAAGTCACAGAATAACTCACAAAAGGAGCTAGCTAGGCCAAACTACAGCCTCCACATGGCGGAGGTAGTTTTAACATGGTGTTACAACCAAGTCACCCCAAACAGACAAAGAGAAAATTCCATATCCCTCCATCTGACCTCAAAATGATTACTTTTTTAAAAAATGTTATGCACAGATTCATCAAACATGTACTGTAGGTTGTTACATTTATCAGTGCGTGGCACAAGTCATATTTAGTTTGATTAATATGTTTGTACAAAGTTGGAAGGCTTGACTGGTTCAAAAACAGAACTGCAGTAAATTAATTGTGTTTGCATCGATTTACCAGACTTTTTAGCGACTGTTAGAACCAGCTTTTCACTGTAAAAAAAATGGTATAGAACTGGCAGCAGGGTTGCCAGGAACTTACCCTTAAAATAACGGTATCCGACTGTTGTAAAATTGTACAGTTTAATAATTTTTTTTACTGCTAAAACGATATTCAGTGATGCCAGCATTCGACACCTCCTATAGTCTCCTACAAAATGTAATCTAGACAGTTGGAAATGTTACAGGCGAGTTTTGTATAACCTCATAAGCAAAACAAAATGCCATGCTATAATGCAAAACATGAAAGTGGATGAAAATCACAAGGAATTGCCACAAGCTACCGCTACGCTAGCTTCAAATCACGCAACTCCTGTAATGCATTAGTTTTACAAGAAATAGCTGTTTGTACTACATTTACTACAGCTGAACAATATATCATAGCTAACCTACATTAAGGTTAGAGTTAAGAACATTTTGTTCTTCCTGCTTCAAAGTTTCCATTCTGAAGACGTGAGGTTTTGTTAAAAGAGTGACGATTCTGGCAACATGATTCTCCACCGTATTTAGAGTGAGTACCTCATTCCCTGGTGCTTTAAAGGAGAACCAGCCAAAAACCTCAATATCTTCGATGGATCCTCAGATCAGAACTGAAGACTGACTTATCAACCCCCCAGAGAGACAAGTGTGAAGCCTGAGCTACTCACTCCAGCCACGTTGTATAGCAGATCTCCTCAGCAGAGCTGTGAGATCAACCAGCCAAAAAAGCTTCACTTCTCATTTCCAGTGAAACTCTCTCAAGCATGTAACAGCATGAAGTCAAAGCATTGTTTTTGTCTTATTTTGAAAGAGTGTCTGTGAACAATGCTGAAGCTACTTTGCAGACATAGAATAGATAAAACTGGGCAAATCAAGAAAACCTAACACACACTGACAGACTTTTAGTGTCTTATATTGAGTGAACAGATCTTGTTTGAAATAAGAACAGGTAAACAATCATAGCTTGGGTGTCTGTTATCACACTAATTGCACTTAGGACAGCTGAAGTTACACAGGAATACCCGAAACACAAGGGGCTATCAAATTCTTAAGAAGATATAGGCTCATGTGAGACTGCGCACAAGTGCAATGCAAGTATGACCGTGGTCTAAGCTTTTGTTTACAGAGCAGTGGGGTCAGACCAAAGTGTGCGGAGAGGGTGCAGATGGCCGTGTTATTTGAGAGGCAGTGTGGTTAAACACATCATATTAGCACCCCATCTCTCCCTGCCATGCTGAACAACTAGTGTAACACTCATCTGGCTCTGGATGCACTGTATCTTTTTGGACAATTACTGGGCAGATTCACAGACCCAGATTAAACCTAAGCCAACACTATTAATCTAAATGGAATTTTTAATGGTTAAATGCAATTGCCATTGCAGTTTAGTCCAAGACTAGGGGTGGGAGATATGATATGCATTATCATGACAACTGACATCACAATATGCTTTTCTTCAGTACATCAGAACATTGAACAACTACGAGCAACATAAAAAGATTAAGACCAACAGTAGACAGTTATATGGATAACGTGGTAAAGTAACATATTACAGTAATGTAATTATTTTTCCAGTAACAAAGTGGTGTAACACATAACATTTACATGCGCTACTTATATGTTAGTCGTAATTTTCCTCTTTGTATATTATCCGTGTCAGTGCTTGTACATAGTCTGCACACCTGTGTGCTACCTGCGACAACTGATCGCTGACTTTGATTGCAAATGTGAGCAGCATGAGTGCTGGAAGAGCTGTAGACTCAGCAAACAATCTGTTGAAGCATCTAATCTTGCTAACAGACACAGAACCCCGAAGATGAAGACAGATCCCCAAACTCACCTCAACAGGCCAGACATGGCTTCCTTTCAGAAACAGTTCTGTAAGCTTTACATTTTATTTTAAAGATTCTGGGGCAGCAGGTTTGAAGTATTTCAGCTAATTTTCTCAGCATTCAAAAGCCTCAGCCATTCGTAATTTTAGTCAACCATATCTAGCTATGCCGTATTCAAAGGCATGATAGTGACAGGCCTTAAATGATGCTTACTGTAATTGTATATTTCTTCATAAATGAATTACGGAAAAGGACTATCGGATTTTGCCGTGTACAGTTGTGTGGATTTGACCCCTTAAAATAAATCTCAGGCTTATTACATACTAAGTCTTATTATACAGTGGACTACAGGGACTTCAATGCAAACTGTCAGAGCTATTCTTAGATTACAGAAGTGTGTAATAAAAATTGGGTCTGGCGGTGGGCAGCTAGCCATTTAAGAGGTTAAGAAAGTAGCTCAGACGTAAAGTAATGAGTAATGAAATATAAGTACAAGTAATCCAATTACAGTTTGAGAGAAGAAATCAGAAATTTGTAACGGATTACTTTTGAGCAACTACCCTAACACTGATGATGAAGTGCCTATAACAACCACCAGTGTACAATAACTGCATAAATGGCATAGTAAATGATTGAATCTCAGCCCATGTGACCTCAACTGATACACTGTCAGAAAAAACAATGTAAATGTACCTTCAAAGGTCCAACTGTGAACCTTAAATAAGTTTTTTCCCAGGTGAAGGGTACAGATTTGTACTTTTTCATAACCTAATGCAACAATACTATAAAAAGTGGAGTGAACACAGGGAGATCTTAACAAATATAAAAATAAATAATTTCTATGGATTATGGTACAATTATGTTCCCGAACTAAAGGTACTGAAATGATACCCTTAAGAGTACCACCCCAATGACAGTTTAACCTTTTTTTCTGCGAGTGTATAGTTAATTTTATTTTTTCAGATTACTTGATTTTTCCTCTTGTTTTCAGTTTTCATAGCATTTTCAAATGTAGTTCCACTTTGAATGGTTTGCCGCTTTTAAACAGTTCACAAACCTTAAAACGTAAAATTACGGTACATATCACGCATCATGAAGTATCATGATGTTAGTAGTTTTGCATATCGCCCACCCTTAAGTGGAACAGAAAAGTCTATAATTATGTGCTGTTTGAATTAGTTAACACCATTATTTATAGATATGATGTCCAAGTCAGTTGTCTGCTGGTCTTGCTGGTCTCTTGTTTGGTTAGGGTTAAAAAGCCTCTGCTTTCTGCCTCTGTTAATCTCTCAGGTGAAATGATTCAAATCCCAGGAAGTGCCTGCAGAGAGGTGAATGCCTGTATGCTTCAAACCCCAGTCAGATACACCTCAGTCCAGACCAGCTGTGCACTGCAGAGCACAATTTTCATGCACAGCATGAAAAGTATGTGGTGGAATTCAACTGAATGAACACACGTGTTGTATACGGCACATGCAGAGAAGGACATATTCCTCTTCTCTCTTATCCCTACAGACATTTACAGTGTACATACAAAACACACAGATACATACTGATACTCTCTCACACAAATGTATGAACACACATATGCATGCGTGGACAGAGAAGTGAGATGGTCCTTGGCTCAGTAGCATGAACAGTCACACAAAAGGCAACAATGAAGTGCATAAAGTAACAAATCACTGCCTCCATACCTTCAACACAGACCTCGTCCTCTCTCCTCGGCTGCAGCCTCTCCTTTCTTTCCTGATATCCTACACCATTTCTGAGCACAGCTCTGTCCGACAGGACAGACTACACCAGTCAGAGAGGAGGAGCTGGGTAGGAGGGGAGAAAATCAGCATGAATTAGCATTCCAAAAGGAAGCACATGACTTCATCTCACCAATCACAGACCTCCGTGTCACTCAGGCTCTCGCTGCCTTGCTTTCTTCTTCTCCTTTCCAGTAGAATGGCTGTGACAGAATTGTAGTACGTAGGATGTAATCACTGACTACAAAAAGAATTGTGGGATTCCACCATCACATTCGTACACAGCAATGTAAGAGTGCAGAGTTAGTGGGAGAGGAACAAGGTTTAGCTGCATAATGCTTGTTCCATTTAGTATTAGTATACCTGAATAGTGGTTTATGTCTGCTATGTAACAGTGATTCAATTCAGTTACAGTTCTTTAGAAAATGTTTTATGAAAGCTTAAATTTCACTAGATCAATTTGATTTGATTAATTTATGATTTTTAATAATACACAAAAGTAGCTGGAGAAACTGTTTAAATAATAGTACAAAACAGTAATACAATAGTAATAAAATAGTACTACAATAGTAATACAAGACAATAAAAATGGGGATGTTTACATTTGAAAATATATAGAGAATCATATTTTGTGCAAAAAAAGAATGTATACGTTTACTATTATATTAGAGTATTATTATGTAATACATGCTGTGCACAAATGAGAAACACCACATGACACACTCATACAGTTGTTTGCAAAAGTTTGAACACCCCCAGTCAAAGACATTGATTTTCTAAATAAAAATATGTTAACACATTCTCTAGGGAAGAAGCTTCAATATGACATTTTCTACAAATTTTAGTGCACAATTTCTGTTTATTTGCTGAGTTATAAGATAATGCTATATAAATATATATATATATAAATGAAAAAATAAAGATAAAAAAAATGAACTGCATCCTTCACAAAAATCAACAATATAATAGTAATTGTGCATTAAAATGTGCAAATGTATGTTGGTTGTAGAAGACTTATTTTCATTCAGAAAATCAACAAAACCTTTACATATTTTTGTATAAACGTAACACACTAACATGCCACTAGCATGTCTGTCACTGCTGTGCTGAGAACAGTCACCAAGGTCCACTATTCTTTTTCGTAAGTCCCATGACGTGTTGCAATAAATGTGTTTTTTTGCTTCCTATTATTTATATGCATTTCCTCAGCCTTAGTGATAAACACACCCAATTCACATTCTGTTTGTTGTGACGGAAATATATGATTGTGAAAGCAGACAACTGTGGAAGGTAACTGCAGTCAGCTTAAAATAACTGCGATCGGGTGATTGTGTAATAATTGCGAAAGGCCTAGATGGACATGGTAGATAAACTGTAGCAACAGATGAGCTACAGTCAGTAACTGTAAACCTACAAAGTGCACCTATACGGTAGGAGTTTCTGATAAAATGATAAATGAATATGAGTAGTTCATGTGGTGTTACTGTGTGCACCTCTTGTAGAATATTATGGTAATCAAATAGGATATTATTATCATCAAATCAATCAAGTAATCAAACTATCAATGCAGTTCATCCAGCAATGCTGTACTATGCATTTCTGCACCCAAAATTCACAGCACAATAAGCAAAATATATATGTGTAAACAAAAATATAAATGGATGAATGAATGAATGCTCTCAGGTGCAGTTTCCAGCCAGGTTGCTGAAAGCTGAGTTATGTCTTCAGTCTGACACCTTAGCAAAGCAGTGCCTGCATGTGTGCACTAGCCTCCATCTTACTGAGGGCTCTGTGTCTCATTACTGGGGGTTAGCAGTCTACACCGGCTGACCCAGGCCGCCCTTCCTTTATGAGCCCTCAACGAACGTTAGAAAGCAATCATGCCTCAATGGTGGGCACTTAAAGGGGCATGATTCGTCTGGAAGTGCCTCTCCTCTCAGCCAGACTCAGATATGGCTGATTTGTTTGCCGCCGCAGCGTGGGGTAATAAAGGCTTTCGGAAATGAAGCGGGATGGTGCTGCGCTGAAGGCCGTTAAGCGATGGAGGGCGTAATGGCCTGGGACACACAGGTGCATAGGCAGCACTGAGCTAATTAGACAGGTCAGAGAACAGCGAGGGAAATGAAGGAGGTGATTGTGCTATTTTCTGCTCTGATAATAACTTCCTTATGCTCCCTTACGCTTCATTTAAATGCACCGGTAGAGAAAAAGAGAATCACTAGTTTCAGAACCAATAGTCTAAACCAGCAGCATAAACGCAATGGTTTATTTCAGAGGAGTAGAGAAAAGTAATAAATGGAAAGACTGAAAGAACGGCATCCTACACAAAGCAGATATGGTAACACAGTGTTTTTACATGCTTATACCAGAAGCCAGTGTGTAAGCAATACAGCACCTGCTCACTGGCATCTACTATAAATGCATCAGAGGTCAATGAGTTTTCTGTTCTTTTCCTAAAAACAGGGAAATGTGTCAAAATTATTGACTGTAGTAACTGCCCATATGATACAGATGTGACAGATTTAGATTAGTTGGACAATGCTGGAGCATTCCCTTAATCCTTTTTAATACAACTCCTTGTAAATAAATAAAGAAAGAAAGAAAAGGAAGAAAGAAAGAAAGAAAGAAAGAAAGTAAGAAAGAAAGAAAGAAAGAAAGAAAGTAAGAAAGAAAGAAAGAAAGAAAGAAAGAAAGAAAGAAAGAAAGCAATACAGTGAACACTTCTGATCAATGAACAATGCATCTCAATTAGCACAACATCATCCATAGACTTTGCTTTTAGACAGGCTTCAATTGGCCTCTAGCTTTCTTAAAGTGAACACATGTTGGAAATCATAACACAATCTCATTCCATACTGTGATGTATGTCAGCGTGAAACATGGTAGCTGAGTATTTTCACTCAATGATAGGTGTGGTTGGTGGGAGGTGGAAGTGAAACATCATATTAATGGTTAATATAATTTTTCCCTGCCGGCTGGTGCACAGTGACATCATCAAGAATCAAAAAACGTTTTAGAGACAGGCAAATGTCATTACATTTTGATAGGAGATTAAGGGAAAACATGAATTTATTGGTTTATTTAGTATAATTAATTAGGCTTAATATGACCGGTATGTGAACTAACAAGGTATAAAAGGTCTGTTTTGATTTAAACTGTATTGACCTCACCTCAAACACAGCAGCACTTTGAAGGAGCTAGAGGGTTTAATAAATGGAACCAGTAAATCTGTGCATACTTCACAGGAACTCTGGTCATTAAGGATGCACAATCACAATTGATCAAGATCAGAACTGACAGCCAATTTGTTATTTTTAATTTTGGCCAATCTGTGTTATAACAGGAGCCAATTCAGCACCTGCCCACTGGCTTCCACTAAAGGTGCATTTCAAGTCAATGGGCTTTCTGTTCTATTAATAAGTGCAGAGAAATGTGTTGAAAGCCAGTCTGAATGCTGTTGCTACAACTACACTAAAATAATTATACATGACTCATTGTGCTAAGTAACCAGTGGCCTCTTGCTTTTGATGTTGCACTTCATATGATTAATGTTATTTAAATAGGAAACAATTTTTTTCACTTATGAATTAAAATGCCTGTGTGGCTCATTGAAGCTACATTAAGTAATATTCAGGGATTTGGAGATGTCTTTGGTGGGAATGCGTAACTGCATACAAGTTGCTGAAGGACAGTTTGTAATGTGAGCTGTGCTTCCGACCCCTTCCCTGAGCGGGTGAATCTGATGATTGTGAGTGGGTTGAAAGAGAATTAAAAGAGAACTGAGTCAAAACCTGATGATCTTGGTGTCTTCAAAAGATGTAAGTGAATCATCTACTATTGTCATCATATCTTCATCAGTATAATGATGACTTTGCATTTGAGACCCGAACATCGAGCTAGACCTTGATGTATGATGTGTTCCAAAAAACTCCCACCAAAATCAACCTGACACCTCATTAAATTATTATTTCAGGCTTTACAGGGTGACTCCATGGAGATCATATTTTAGTGTGGCTTTGGCTAATAGAAAGTACTGGAAATGTGCTAGTGTGTTTCATGGGTTCATTTACCCCACACAGAGTGAGCTTCAAGTAAAAAAAAAAAGACTAGTTAAATTGGAAAATTTGGCTGTAAAAAAAACAAGATTTATGATCAGTGCATCCCTACTGATCCTACTGGACTTTAATTGCTTGAAGATGGTCAGTGATGTCCAGTATATGAAGCACAGTCAGTAAAGAAATAGAAAACGCATAACAAACACATTAATCAGCCATTTTCACTACATTTTGCTTTTGTTCAGCCATTAGCCATTAAGCCTAGATGGTTCTCGACTTGGACGTACAGTTCTAGGGAAGAAAAAAACATTTAAATGGAATAAAGTCTTCACTTAACATTATGTGGAGGTTCTATAAACTTTTCTTCACCTTTCTTTCAGAGTGGCTCTTTAAAGAATCATCCATTGACATGTTCTTTAGAAAATATAACAGCATTGCTCCAAAGAACCCTTTTCGGCACTGTTATTCTTAAGAGTGTACCTTCTGTCCCCTGATCAGAAACAGCAGTCTCCCTGGGCACTTTTAACAGCACCCCACCTCAGCTTCCTGCAGCCTAATTTACAACTTCCTGTTGTCAGCACTCCTGTTGATACTAATCTCCTGCCTGTTACAATACCAGAAGGGCTCTTAGAATCAGCCCTGCTTCCACGGAATAATAGGTACCTCAGGCTAAACACCTGAAGTGACAAACGTTGCATGCTTAAACAAACACATGCTTGTTGTAACACTCTCAGTTTAATGGATGTTAATTGTTGGAGCGCTGTGATGGCTGAGGGAAAGTAATGCTTCCACATAAATTCTGTAATGTTCTTGATTGGAAGAAAGTACCTCCTAAAAAATAAAGGTTCCTAAATTGTTCTTGGCTTGTACATATGGTTCTAGGAAAAAGTGGTACAGAAACTTTAGGTTATGTAGAGATTCTTTGAACTGAACACACTCATATAGCTCATTAACAAAAATGATTCCTTAAAGAGACGTTCATTTAAAGG